CCCCCCCCCCCCCCCCCCCCCAGGACTTGCTGCCACTGTTATTTCAGCTTGCATCTTTCCCATGTGTTTTGTTCTCCATTAATAGAGGAGTTTGGGGTTCACAGAAAAAAGTGAGCAGAAAGTGGAGCGTGCCCATGTACTTTCTGCCCCACCTTGCACGGCCTCCCTCGCTGCCCAGCTCTTCACCTTGCCCTGGTGGTGAAGAGGTGAGTCATCCAATGCCAGACGGCGCTGTCCATCCCGGCCAGAGCAGTGCGTTTGTTACCACGGATGAGCCTACAGCTGATACCTCACAGTCACCCACAGTCTGCAGTTCCCATTGGAGTTCATTTTTGTTGTACATTCTACAGGCTTTGATGAATGTGTGACATGTGTCCATCATTACAGTACTAGGATAGTACTGTACAGAGCCTTAAAGATCCTCTGTGCTCTTCCTATTCTTCCTTCCTTTCTTCCAGCCCATGGCAACCACAGATCCATGCCATTGGAATCATGCACAATGTAGCCTTTTCAGATCGGCTTCTTTCCCTTGGTAATAAGTCCTGAAGTTTCTTTCAACTTTTTATGGCTTGACAATTTATTTCTTTTTAGCACTGAATAATATCCCATCTTACACATCTTGAATTGCCTTTTAGAGAGGCATTTATAGCATTTTAATAGTAGGAGAAAAATCAGAAATAACCCAGACATTTAACACAGAGTTATTTAAACAATGTATAATCAAGTATGCTATACTGCCTTTAAAATAAGAAGGAATATTTTTAGTAATGAAAGGGGAGAGTGCTCAGAATATATTGTTAACAGAGAGCAAGTTGGAAACAGAGGGTTTTTGATCACCCAAATTAAAACACTAGTACCTGGGGACCAGCAGATGGCATATGGTTACACCATTGGACTCCCATGTAGTCTACTGCAGTTCAAGTCCTAACCCCAGTGGCTTAAAAATCATGCGAGGCACGTGTACATGCTTGCTCAAAATCCTGAGAGGGTGGGGGAGAAGGGATTGTGGTGTGGCCATCCCCCCTGGGAGGGCAGTTTCTCACTTTCTGTTTCTCTCTGTTTCTCCAGTGAGTGCACAGACCCTATAGTAAAAAAAAAAAAAAAAAAAAATCTCTCTTTAAAAAAAGGAAACAAAACACTAATACCTGGTCATCTCTGATGGGTGAGATTTTCAGGCACATTCACTTTACTGTTTCATAGGTTTGCATCTGTGTAGATAGAAAACATAAACAGGGCCTGCCTCTGGCCTACTGGCTAAGGTGGTTGGATCTCACATGGCTGGCTGTGTGGTATGAGTCCCAGACTTGGCAGCTTGAGAAACACTTGAGGCATGTGTGTGTGTGTGCCCAAAATTCCGAAAGGAGGGAATAATGGAGGAAAAGGGATCGCAGCATAACCATGCCTGTGGGGGTGCCCCCCAACCCCCATTTCTCTCTGGTGAGTGCATACGCCTTCTGACAAAGTAAACACATAAACAGAAAGCAAATTTGTCTCAGCCTTTTTCTCCGCTTGCCTCCACCTTTCTCATTAGGTACATGTACTGGACGGACTGGGGTGAGACACCCCGGATTGAACGAGCAGGAATGGATGGAAGCACCCGGAAGATCATTGTGGACTCAGATATTTACTGGCCTAATGGGCTAACCATTGACCTGGAGGAGCAGAAGCTCTACTGGGCTGACGCCAAGCTCAGTTTCATCCACCGTGCCAACCTGGATGGCTCCTTCCGGTAAGTGCCCATCCAGGCGTGGGACACCCCTTCTGTATTGCACCCAGCTGCCATCAGGGCATTTGAGAGTGATCCTTCTCTACTCAGGCCCATAGTCTCTCTTCTGAAACTCAGAGGACTGAGGGATTTAGACTGCTCAGAACTTGGACCAGTCACAGGGTATATGCACCATGTCTAACATCATACCCCCAGCAGGGGTGGGGGGCACCTGCCATCGAACACATCAATAGGCCTTTTTTTCTTTTTAAATTTCAGCAGGGTCCAATTTATTGCTTTAACTTTCTTTTTTCAAAGTTTATTTCATGAGCGAGAGAAGGACAGAAACGGGGACTCCTGACAGGGTCTTCATGCCGCAGTCTTTCCCAGTCACCCTCCAGCCTGCCATGGAGGGTGATTGAACATGTCAAAGCCTAGTGTGCATTTTTGACATGTTCAGGTTGACCTGGGAACTGAACTCAGGGCCTTTTCCTTGGTCCCAGCATTCCTCATTGGGACCCCTGTGTTTTGACCACTGTGGCTGCCCTAGCATGTGACTATTTCTGTAGAATGTTCCCTCTAAGAGGGACAGAATAGGCTATACTAGCCCCACATTCACACATGAGCAACAAAAACTCATCGTTTTCATAGTATTTTGGAATTCAGAATTAGAGATGAGAGATTTTGGCCTGATAGGGTTGTGGACAGTTCACTCCACTGTGCACACACACTGCTCTCTACCCCAACCCCGCCTAGCACCTAAGCACCCCGAGGGCAGCAGCCGGGGCTGCCGGAACATTACACATTGTGGGTGCTCAGTAAAATGGGCTGTGTGAATGAATGAATAGGAAGACTTTTTCCCTTGTTGGGTAATTATTTGAAGAGCTTCTGGTCAGCTTAGCTTTATAGTCTCTTACTCCATTATCCATTAGAAATGTCCCCTGATGGGTGAGATGTACAGATGACCAGCCTTTTGTTTATTTATCAAGAACTGCCTGCTGGCTCTGTGCCAGGTCTTTGAGATTATTCTGGGAGGGCAGACCCATTCCCATGCTGGTGAGCTCCTATGCTAGGAGCTATCGGGAGGAGGGTGCCATTGCCAGGGCTGTGGTGACACCACGTGGAGGACTCAGATGTGAAGACATCAGATTCATTCCATGTCACCCAGGCCTTATTTATTAGTTACCTATTGCTGCATAGCAAGATATCTCAAAACTTAGCAGCCTAAGCAACAGGTTTTTAGGGGTGGGGGTCAGCAGTTAACGAACAGCTTACCAGGTAGTTTTGGCTCTAGATGTGTCCCAAAGTTATAGTCAAGCTCCCAGCCAAGGCTTTTGCCATCTGAAAGTTTGACTGAGGCTGGAAGATCTAGTTCCAAGTTAATTCTTGTGGCCATTGGCAGGAGGCTTCAGTCCTCCTGGGCCTCTTCTTACGTTGAGCCATGCACCTCAGGCTGGCTTGAAACATTTGTCCCATTGACCCTCAGAGCACAGACTGGCCAGTACAGGGCTTGGTTTGAGATTTGGAAATGTGGCTACTCTGAGGACTGTGGTTCTTGGAAGCCTCGTGGTCCTGATAATATGAAGGGTTAGAGGCTAGAAAGGTTGCAGCTCAGGAGTACCCTGTCAAGGGATTGACAGGGACAGTGAGGATGAAGGCAGTGGTGATGACAGTTAAACCATGACAATGGGTGATGGTGATGGGGGTAGTGGTGGTGGCAGTGGTGGTAGTTAACTCTCCCATAGCACTTACTGTTTCTCAGAGGCATTTATCAATTCATTTATGCCCACACCAGTGCCTCAAAGTGTTTGCTGTTACGATCCCCTGTAATCATGATACTCAGAGAGGCACATGAACACACCCAAAGTCACACAGCAAGTGGGAGCCAGGATTGGAACCCAGAGGCTGTGGCTCGAGGGCCTGCTCTCAGCTCCTCTTCTGCCTGCCTCACCACCAGATTCTTCTGCCTCTGCAGGTGGCTAGCGCTCTGTGGAAGTATGCCCAGGGCTTTTCCAGTAGCATTATTTGCTGTTACTCTGGAGCCCAACAGAACCTGTGTTCCCCTTCTAACTGTGGTTGTGTGTGGGTGGCCTCACTGCCCAAAGCCTCTGGGCCTCACATGTGGTTGGAGATAGGAATTGTACTTTCTAGACTGAGGTCCAGAGGATCCGAGGTGGCAGTGCACCTAAAGCTCACTCAATAAATGCTGGTGTGCTTGGATAGCTCCTGGATCCAAAGGAAGGGGCTGTGGTTGGGGCAACTTGGAGCAGAGTGAGAGGGGAGGGGCATTCTGCAGACTATGGTACCCAAGAAGGAAGGGTGAAGGTGGGCAAGGTGAGCCGAAGGTGGCATTGAGGTTCTGGCGATGCCTCTGTCTGGGCAGGGTGTAGGGAGGAGGAGCAGCCTGAGAAATAATGGGCCTCTGGCTTCTCTGACCAAAAAACGGAGCAGCCTGAGAAATAATGGGCCTCTGGCTTCACAGACCAAAAAATGGTGCCATCATCGAAACATTCGGTGGTTCCTAGGACGTAAGCATTGATTTAACATATTGCCTAGCAGTTTTTCTCCTCGGTATATACCCCAAAGATTTGGAAACAGGCATCCAAATAAATGCTTGCGCACAGTGTCCGTAGCAGTGCTATTCAGACAGCCCGGTGGGGGAGCCACTCCCAGGCCCACCAACAGCTGGTACTCAAGTTGCGGTCCATCCACCCTTCCGAATATCGTTAACCACAAAGAGGAACGAGGCCCTGATGCTCCAGTATAGACGAACCTTGAAAACATGCGAAGGGAAAGAAGCCAGGCGCAAAAGGCCCCATAGCGTATGTTTCCATTTATATGAAATATTCAGGATATTTATAGGGAAATCCATAAAGACAGAAAGTAGATTAGCAGTTGTTAGGGGCTGGGGCCCTGTTGGGGAGTGACTGCTGGAGGGTGTGGGGTTTCCCTTGGTGCAATAGAAATGCTGGTTGCACACATCGTGAACGTATTGGATAGCCCTAACTTATTCACCTTAAACTGTTTGGTTTTGTGTTACGTGAATTTTAATTTAATACGTGTTTAAAGAAGCGACATCAACAAAACGAAAGAGAGGCAGTGGACCGGGAAAGAGCGCGCGCTTCTGTTTTTCTGTGTAGTCAGTGACACTTAGTGGGTGTAGCCCTCTCCTTGGTGCTTTGCCAGGGCTGGTGACATGGGGATGACTGCCTACCCGCAGCCCCACCCTCAGGGAGCCTGTCATGGGTGGGTGGTCATTAAGCAGATAATCACACGCATTACTGGTCATGTCCAATCGTGACCCTCTTACTAGTATGCAGAATCTCATTAAACGTGAGTGCCCCTTGACTGGGCGCTTTAAGCACATAGAGAGGAGAAGTGCTTTCTCAATGCACCCTGAAACTATAAATTGTGGGTGTTAGAAGAATGTGCAAGTGGGGCTGGTTGGTGGTGCAGTGTCCAGATGGCTTGATCCCGTATCACTCAGATCCTGTTCACTTGATCAGGATGGTCAGTTGGTGGTGCAGCGTCCAGATGGCTTGATCACTCAGATTCTGTTTCAAACCTGGCAGCTTGAGAAGCATGCTGGGTGGCAGTGTGTGTGTGCCCAAAATCCTAAGGGGAGAATCGAAGAGAGGGGATTGTGGTGTGGCCATCTCCCCTAGGGGGTGCTTTCTTCCTTTTCCCTTCTCTCTGTGCCTCCTGAAAGCAAAAGTACCCTGTAGCAAACATTTAAAAAAATCTAGAGACCTTCCTTTGTACTCTAGGCACATGAGTACCAATGATGTGGGTGCTTTCTCTTTGTCTCTTTTGCTCATGGAAGAAATAAATAATAAACTTTAAAAAGGAAGCAGAAGACACAGTGTATGCTGTCTGATTCGTATTGTTAGAGCACCGGACAGGAGAGGCATGCTTAGCAGCAGCCCTGTCACCAGGTGTGGCTTTCTCCTTTCCTTTCTTCTCTGGAGGACCCCTGTGCGACTGCCCCAGCTGCAGGGACTGGACTGGGTTTAGGGGGTACCCTAAATGTATGTTGGGAGAGGTAACCTGGGGGTGTGCGAGTAGGGGCGTCCCTCCCCAGACACTCTCCCTGGTCTCACTTTGCTTATTCGTCTCACCTTGCTCAGCTTCTGTCCGTGTGACACCTTAGCAGTGAGGATGGAGGGGCTTTCCAAGCCCATCTCAGTGGTCTTCAAGCACTACAAGCACTCTTGACGACTTCTCCCTTGGGCTCCCACAGGCAGAAGGTGGTGGAGGGCAGCCTGACTCATCCTTTCGCCCTGACACTGTCTGGGGACACCCTATACTGGACAGACTGGCAGACCCGCTCCATCCATGCCTGTAACAAGAGGACGGGGGAGAAGAGGAAGGAGATCCTCAGCGCCCTCTACTCACCCATGGACATCCAGGTGCTCAGCCAGGAACGGCAGCCTTCCTGTGAGTACGGGGCACAGGGCCTTCGGGCAGGGTGGGCACCATGCCCCTCACTCAGGAAATGAGCCCCCTGACACTGGACCCAGGTCCTCCTACCCCTGTAGGGACTCCTAGTCTGGGGAGTTTGCCTCTCCAAAGTGGTGCTTGCTATAGTGGAGGGAGGTGTGTGCAGGATGAGGGGGACAGGGGACACTTCTGCCAAGCTCTTGCAGGGGCTGCTTCCAGACTCAGTTATGGCCATGGGATTTCCAAGGGGTGCTGCCCCATTTTAAAAAACACTGATGGAAGTCACATATGCATTAGTGAAATCCTGTTCTAAGTCAGTGGTTCTCAGCCCAAGGTTCCATAGGGTCCTGGCAGAGGCATCTGATGGTGAAACACACAGGCTTCTGTGATAGGTGGCCAGCAGGGCAAGGTCCCTGGGCTCACCCAGGCCCACAGGAGCAGGTATGATTTCTGACTAAGTCATCCTAGAGGGTTTAAACTGTGAACTTAGAGCAGGAACCCAGAGCTACTAGCTGTTCTTGAAGCAGGGCAGCGGGAGGGTGGGGTTCTCTGGAGTTGTTTCCTGGGGGGAAGGCCCCATTTATACTTGAGGCAACCAGTGCAGAGGTGGGCTGAGATTTTCCCAGTGACTCCATTGTTCTAGTTAGCAACATATTTCAGGGGTGCTAAGGCCCACGCTTCCTCTGGGCAGAATAAGGTTCTGGAAGTGTTTGTTGAGTTCATTTGCTTATTGGTTATGAAAGGACTCTGGACAGTGAGAAGCATGGTCATCCCACCAAAAGGCTCTGCCCTGTGCTTGAGTGTGGTCCCCAAGGTTTGTGTGGGGTCTAAGCACGTCATAAAGACAAGATAGGCCTTATGGTGAGGAGTTCCCTCCCTCATCAGGGGTCCTGTCATTAACACAACATTCTGAGATCCTGCTGTGGGAGCATGGAGGGTGGTCATCGAGGAGGTGTCCTTTGTGGGTGCCTGAAGAAGAGGAGGGTTTTCCTGTTTCAGGAGCTCAGGGTGAAGTAGGCAGACAGGGAGGATGCTGGCTCCAGTGGCAGCACACATCAGGAGGCCGAGGTCACTGCCAGTTTTGGACACATTGCAGACCAGCTGGCGAGGTTAAAGGCCTGCCCTGGAAGGTGGTCAGCAATGATGCAGGATGGAGTCGGGGGTGGGGGAGAACACGCTGGGGGCTGTCACAGGAGAGGACAGTGTACTGTGGACTCATCTGAAACAAACGAGTAGGGGGCAGTAACAGTTGCAGGCTCTGTTCCGGAACTTCCTCTTACTCTGCCCTATTTTTCCCAGTCCACACGCAGTGTGAGGAGGACAATGGTGGCTGCTCCCACCTGTGTCTGCTGTCGCCAAGAGAGCCCTTCTATGCGTGCGCCTGCCCCACCGGCGTTCAGCTTCAGGACAATGGCAGGACGTGTAAGGCAGGTGAGGTGGAACATCGGAGGGGTTGGGTTGGGGTGGTGTGAGTGGGTGCACCAGAGGGAAACCTGGTGAACCCATTCTAGGCGGCCTGCTTGCTTCAGTGAAGTTGTTGCAGGGCTCTGCACCCAGGTGTACGTTGGCAGCCAGCAGGGCTGGGGTCCATGGTCAGATCTGGGCTCCATTGTCTGAAAGGCAGATGATCTCAGCCATGTTACGGCCTCCTTGGAAACTCGGGTTCCTTGCCTATACATTATAACGACCAGGTGGTGCCACCACTGTACTAAGCACATAGTAACCGGGGATCACAACCTAAACGCTATTAACCAAAACTGTGCTTCTTGTAAGAAGGGACTTTAGCATTGGCAAATACTGAAACAGGAAGCTGCCTCAATCCTGTGACTCCGACAGACGTGGACAGACACGTTGACGTTTTCTATATTTTTGCCTCATCCATTAATGTATGCACAAACTGTGTAGCATTGCGAGCCTTGGAGTATGGTTTCATCTTCTACTTTTTTACATTTCCTTAAGCATTTTGTGTGTGTGTGTCAATAGGATTTATTTAATTTTATTATTATTATTTTAAGTTGATCAGAGAGAGAACATGAGAAAGTACTCCACCAGGTCCAGGACTCAAACCATGGTGGGCCATGTGGGAGTCCAGTACCTTAACCATCACACCACCTGCCGGTCCCACTTTAACAACTTTTTTTCTTTAATGAATTATTTAGTTTAATTTTTATTTATTTATTCATTTATTTTAATTTGACCAGAGAGAGACAGAGAGAAAAAAAGAGAGAGAGAGAGAAAGTGAGAAAGGAAGCCACCAGGTTCGGGACTTCAACCATGGTCAGCCATGTGTGAGCGTCCAGCGTCTTAACCACCACGCCACCTGCTGGCCCAACACCTTTTTTTTTAAAGAGAGATTTTTGCTATAGGGCACATGTGCTTGCTGGAGAGACACAAAGAGTCAGAGAGACAGAAAGCGAGAAATCACCACCCAGGGAAATAGCCACGTTGAGATCTCTTCTCCATTCTCCTCTTGGGATCTTGTGCATGTATGCATTTGTGCCTGGTGTGAGTTTTAAGCTGCTGGGTCGAGGACTCGATCCACGGTCAACTATGTGGGAGTCCAGTAATGTAACCATTATGCCATCTTACCCTTCCCCTTCGTTCTCAGGCACTTGCTGCATCAGAGGCTCTTGCTGTGATTGTTTTCTAGTGCAGTCTTATCCTCTCCTCTGTGGCACTGTCTCAAGATCTTTATGTCCACATGTCAGATACAGGCTGGGGTCTTCTGGGAATTTTTGGGTCCAGATACAGCCTACCCTCGGGGGTGCTCCAGGACCCTGCACACCCTGTGGCCTCTGGGGTCAACTCTGGGTCCTGGCCAGCAAGGTTAGTAAGAGGTGTCAGGAAGGCAGCCACCCTGAGACCAGTCCTCCCTGTGTTGGGGAGCATGACGGCCCGGCTTAAAGAAAGCAGTCCAGAGGCGGGGCCTATTTCCTGTGTTGGCGCCCCATTTGGGGGAAGGGAAGAGAGGACAGTCTTGAGGTCAGGGTCTAGGCTGAGTGGCTCACTAGAAGCACTCTCCTGTTACCCGCATGGATGGTAGTCCTACTCCAGGAGTGGGTCCCTGCTCTCTGGCTATGGTCTGAGTTTGCACGCAGTGGCAGAGACTGCGTGTGTGGTCACAGTGTCAGGGTGCAGGTAGGGTCTCTGATCTGCTTCTAGGAAGTCCTCCTGTTTCAGGTGAGGACTTTCTAGGTCGGTATTCTCTGCTTCTCTTTCCCAGAAGAGGACATCTTTCTCTTATTTGTGTGTGTGTGTGTGCATGTGTGTGTGTGTGTGTGTGTGTGTGATTTAAAGTTTGTTATAGGGCATGTGCACTAACCAGAAACAGAGAAAGTATGAAGGCACCCTCTGGGGACATGGCCACACAATGTCTTCTCTTCCATTCTCCTCTAAGGATTTTGGGTACACATGCACCTAACTTGTTTTTCAAGCCACCAGATCCGGGATTCAAAGCTCATAGTTGGCTGTGTGAGATCTAGTTGCCTTAACCACCATGCCACTGACCTGCCACAGAATGTCTTAGGGCTGTATCCTAAAGAAAGGTTCTGTTGGCTGTGCTGGTTCCTGAGGGGACAGTTGGCAAGTCTCCCCTCACCTCCAAAGGCCTCGTTTTCCCAAGTAGAGAGAGGGGTGCCGCCATTTGAGAACTGGGGGTGTGGGTGGCCAAGTTTTTAAGGTTCTCTTAAATGGGACCCCAGCTGTTGAGAGCTTGGGGATTTACTGGAGAAGTGACCCGGAATGCACTGCATTCATTCATCTGTTTGTTCATTCATCTCTTCATTCATTTTCTCCTTCATCTGGCATGTATCAAGTACCTGCTGTATGCTAGCCCTGTTCCTGGGTGCCGGGAACCCCACAGTGAGTGGTGTAGACAAAACCCTCAGCTCACATGGTAGGGCCTGGGTGGGTGGTGGGAGCCACAGCATAAAGGAGTCTGTGTGGAGGGGTGTTAGGTGAGCATCTTGGAAGACCAGCTCCTGGTCACTGCTGGGCCCTTTGGTGTTTATTTGTCTTGGCCTAGACAGTGATGAGAGAGAGGCTGGACCTGGCTGAGGTGTCCAGGACAGTTGCCTCATGAACTACTCAGCCACACCCATGGCTGGGGCTCAGCAGGTGCAGAGTGGATGCAGACACTCAAGCAGGAGGAGCAGTCTGACTGGGTTAGCCCTTTTGTTTTGCAGATGAGAGAACAGACAGTGTCACTGGCCTGGGGTGACACTGCACAGGGCAGAACGGTTCTAGAAGTAGGATCTCTTTTCGTTGTATGTTCCTGACCAGGGTTCTCTGTATGGCCCTGTGTCTGTGTGCGTGATCATATCACATGGCTTCGAGTCATTTATTTCACTTGACATACTGTGGCAGTATTTGCAGTTGCAGGTGGTCAATATGCTTCAAAAACGTGAATTTTCGGGATCAGCAGATAGCATAGTAGTTATGTTGCTGGACTCTCACATGAGTGACTGCAGTTTGAGTCCTGGACCTGGTGGTTTGAAACTCAATGCCAGGCGTATATGCATGTATGCCCAAAATCCCAAGAGGATATGCATGTGTGCCCAAAATCCCAAGAGGAGAATCGAGGAGAAGGAATCACCCTTTGGGGGTGATTTCTCGCCTTCTCTCTGTCTCTCCAGCAACTGGATGTGTCCCATAGCAAAAAATCTCTCTACAAACAAAAATAAAAACATGAATTTTGGGGCCAGAGGTGACATGGTGGTTAAGGTGCTAGACTTCCACATGGCCAACCATAATTTGAGTCCCAGACATGGCGGCTTGAAAATCACACCAGCCACGTGTGCATGCATACCCAAAATCCCAGGAGGAGAATGGAGAAGGTATTGTGGCATGGCCACCCCTCCTAGAAAGTGAGTTCTCACTTTCCCTCTCTCTATCTCTCTCTGTCTCTTTCCCCTCTGGAAAGCACACATGCCCTGTGGCAAAAACCTTGGGAAAAAAAATGTGAATTTTAGTGCCTGAAGACTAGCTCATCAAGTGGACTTATTTTTTAACTGGCTTCCCTCACCAAGTATTTCTGCCATTTTTGTGTTTTTGCCCTTTCTGAGTCTCACTGCTTTCGTGGATGATAGCTGGCTTGGGGCCTGGGCCCTTGAGGTAGAGGGACTTAGATCTGGTGTCCATGGCTTCTGTCGGATGGCAATGGCAGCCTGCCTGAAGCCTGTGTTGGATCAGTCGATGATGTCTTATCTGAACAGGGAGGAGCATGGCTGACGCAGATGTGGTTGCCGTTACTGCCTCTTGGGGTGTCCCAGGCAGCTGTGTGTATATTTGCCAGATGAATAGGGATGGACACAGCCCCCCCTAAAGGTGGATTGTGCAGTAACATGTCGGCCACCTTGTCCCGACAGGAGAGCTTGTGTAGTCAGCTTTCATTAAGGGGTGCTGTGAGGCTCCCTCATTCCTCAGAGTTCCAGGAACGAGACATGGGCAAAATAGGGCACAGATCCTGGTCACATTCCAGAGGCCTGATCCAGTGAAGTCACACAGCTGCAGGATCTGCGAGTTCCCCTAGCATTTGCCCAGGTTACCCTGGGGGTAAAGGGCTGACCATCATGGTGGGCAGTACCCAGGGCTTTGCTACCCATGCCTCCTTCCCTCCCCTGTGAGATGGGGTCCCACAACCGCCTCTGCTCAGAGAGGCTCCAGGGACTCAGTGTGTTAGTTAATACAGCTTGAAAGTGCAAAGCAGGGTGCCTGGCACACAGTAGGTGCACAGGATGTGGCAGCCACATCTGCTCTTCATACCCTCCTTGTCACACTGTCACCGTGACCAGCACCGCAGATGCCAGGCCAAGCCTGTGAGAGCTGGGGCAGCCTCGCTTGAGGTTGAGGTTGCTCTTATTGTCCAGGGGTCCTCCCACCCCTGGGGGGCTGTCCCTGGGGAGCAGGGGAGGGGTGCCGATTTCTTTTCCTACTGGAAGAGGCAGGGACCACAGGCTCACATGGCTCCCAGCATCCCAATAACGCTGTGGTTGAGTCCCTTGAGGGCTTCACTTCTTTCTGTAAATGTGTTTTTTAACCACTTGTCTCCGTGCCTGGACCCAGAGCAGCCCTGGGAAGTCCTGGGAGCTCACTGTGTGGGAAGGGATGGGAGGAGGCCTATGTGAAGAGCAAAGTAGAGGAGGTTGCCTGGGGTTGTAGGTCATGGTGTGTGGCCAGAGTGGGAGGGCTTCCAGGAGGAGGTGGCACCAACAGGCTGGCAGTGGGCCTAGCATCTCTGGCCCTAGTCCCAGTGGCTCTGTGGTGTGGAGTTGACACCACAGACACCTGTGGAGTTGAACCAGTGGATTAGCAGCACATCCTGCCCTTTCTGCTGAGAGCTTTTTAGTCCTAAACTGTGAGGTGGGAGGGGCTGAGTGTGCAGCTCTGGGCTTCCTCAGCAAGGGCGGCCAGAAGCCAGATTCTCTGGGGAC